TATAAGTTAAAGTTACCTTCTACTCTATTATCTTATTATCAAATCCTATCTATAACTATCACTATAAGTTAAAGTTACCGTCTACTCTATTTTCAGCAGAACAGTATTTAACTCCAGAACAATCTAGAACATTTCAATTAGGTAGTTGCCCAAGGAAGTTACGTGCACTTGCCCTGTTGAATTACAAAAAGAGTGAGATTAGTAAATATTTTGGGGTTAGGTTAGGTTAAGACACTTTATAGGCCAAGCGCTATGACTAGGACAGACTAGGGGGCTGGGCGTACGCTAGAACAGGCTCTCTCTATATCTTGTAATTCAACGAGGCATGGGCGAATAATTTTTGCTTTCCAATTTGTAAATCTTATAAATGTCATGAAACTAAAGAACGTACCATCTTGATCAAAACCATCAACAATAACATCTGTGGAAGGACAGTTGAAAATCCCTGAGAAGCTACGAATTATTTGATTCAAAGAATCTGAGCACCAACAATTACCATTCGGATACCATTCATACCGTTTAGCACTTGGTGATAAATCATTGTTAAAACAGATAATGAAGAGATTAAGGGAAAAGAAAGGAAGGGAAAGGATAAAAGAAATGGTTAAAATGGAGAAAAAGTGTTGGGAATAGTTTATATCTGAATTGTCAGAATCAAACTTAAGTCCTGATTAAGCTAGACTAGTAAAGTTTTTTGAATGATTCAACAGATAAATAACAATATGAAGGAAACTTATAATGTTCATTGTTCACTGCCTTCACTCTTAGAAATGGCTGTTTTTTGTGTGTTAAATTTAATGAAGTATTTCTCCTGATTTTGGTACAGAAGCAACTACACTCCAATTTTGTAGATGTCCAGACACTCACACCTTTAATAAGTATTATGAAAAAAAATCATTTTTATACAAAAGTAATCAGATTACCATTGGCATTGTCAATCTTTGTTAAGTCATAACCGGGCAAGTAGCACTCAGTCTGTACACAATTATCTAAAATATATAATTAACCATGACTATGAACATTCTTAAATTTAAATAAAACAATGTTTTAACCTGAAGTTCCAATGGCATTCCTTGAACAATTATATATGCCAGAGATGGCATTCGAGTTTGATATTTCTCCGGGGTCTGTTCTTGTCCCACACATACATAATTTATCATTGGAGGTCCAGGAGAAGATGGCAATCGATTTTCTAATATCAAGAATATTTTGATGATAATGTTTCTTATATTTGATCGAGTGTTTGTTTCTTATTGAAATAAAATTATTATTGAAGAACTATCAAGACACACACTGTAAATATAAAAACGTAATAAAAATCAAGAATTTTTGGAAAAGAGTATTACTGCAGATTTTCTTGATAAATTATCCCTAAATTTTGAATATTTTGAAAACGGCGGAAATAAAAAAAATACACATTTTTTTTATTATTTTTATAAGAAAAACTGAATGCAGAACAATATTTTTAAAACTGTTAAAAATGCAAGTCATTATTATTAAGAAAAAGTGGATAAAAGTATAACAATTTCAGGATACATATTCGCGCCATCTCTATTTTAGAGTAGACACCACCTAGCGGCCGAATGCGGCAGCTCTCGAATCATAATTTCTGGATAAACTATTCAGATTAAATTAATTAAATCAGGTAATTAAATAAGATTTATTGAATAAATATGTAAACAGTACAAAATAGCATTTGGCATTCTCCTGTCCCCTCCCCCCCTCCCTCCCTACAGCCCCACCCTTGTTCCCATGCAGTTTGTGCGCATTTACCGTAGAAAAGATTATTTAGACTTATTAGGATGAGGAAAAAAATTATAACATACAGTAAATATAAAAATTCATTGAAATACTCCATACTTAATCACATGAAATACCATGCATTTGATTTTTAATTTAAAATATAACTATAATTAAATTGTGATTTGAAAATCAAATAAATAATATAAAATGAGATGCAGTGGTAGGCGATAATATCAATATAATGGAGACGACTTTTTAATTCAAGTTTTATTGTTAACAAGCTTTTTCTGAATTTCAAGTTTACATGTAATTAAAGAGAAGTTGTTTAAAAGCCTGTTATAAAGCTCGATATAAATTAAAATTTAAACCCTTGTCTTGGTATTATCGCACCACTGTATTATTTCACAAGTACAACACTATTTATTCATGCTGATGATGATTGATGCTAACTTGTTTTACCCACAAATGTGATATTTGTTAAGAAATAATGAAACTAACGACTAACACATTCACTGAAAAAACTTTGTTTTTATCTTCTTTATATGTCAGTGGTGGAGATCGGCCAGTTCTCTTGATAATTGTTAAGCGATTTTAAATTCGGTGATATGATGGACCAAACCTCTGTAGAGTAAAAAAGTTATAGATGTTAGTTTCACATTTATTGAAAATATATTTCGGTCTGGGTTCACTCTCGTCAGTTCTTGAGATTGTTTCTTCACAATTGTTGAGCCAATTGTCAAACCGATGTATAACAGAAGTATTCACTGAACTGAA